GTCTGCAACACTTTCGTTTCCGCGCGATATCTCGAGAACTCTTTGAGCTTTCGCAATGAAATTTTGCATAGCAACTCTCTATGGCATAAAAAAGAACCCTATTGATTTTGAGGTCAAAGGTAAAGGTAATAAATTCTGTCTGTTTTAACACTTTTGTTTCCGCGCGATATCTCGCTTCTTTGAGCTTTTGCAATGAAATTTTACATAACAACTCCCTGTGGCCCAAGGAAGACCCCTATTGATTTTGAGATCAAAAGGTCAAAGTTCAAGGTCGTAAATTCATAAATTCCGTCTCTGTGTAACACTTTCGTTTCCGGGCGATATCTCAAGAAGCTTTTTGCAATGAAATTTAATACCATAAGTCCCTATGGCCTCTCTCGCCCCTCTCAAAGTGTCCCACCCCGTTCTGTTTTTTTAATTTATTGTATTAAAAGTCGCTTGGGACTATTTTTAGCAGAGAGGCGTTTGAAGAGTTATTACGTATCATACAGGTTGTCGGCGGACTTTATATTCTAATTACATCTTTAAGAACTGTTTAGTAAAGGCTGAATTAGACAACATGTATTGTGTAAAATTTTGACAATATCGAACGTGAATATAAACATTATATGTGACCTAATGTTTGCATTTAATTTGCAGTAAAATCAAGTGGTCTAGGGGTATGATGCTTGCTTAGCAAGCGAGAGGCCCGGGTTCAAATCCTGGACGATCCTATTTTTTATTATTATTTTTTTTTTTGTTTATGTTTTTTGTTTTTTTTATTTTTATTTACTAAATGATACTATTCAACATGTGAAATGAAAATGTTATGACGTCTGGCGTGTACAAACTCATAAAATCAGTATTACTGTGTGATAAATATTCTATATATTAAAAAGAATCTGCTATACACATATTAAAGAATAAGCAATCAAATCTTTATATCCATATTGGCATTTTTTTATTTGCTTCAATATACATGTATACATTTAATAATTCTACAAATCCGCATGCACTTCTTTTTTTCCCTAAGTGGGGGACACAAATTCTTTGAATTAGCTTGTCATGTTTTCACTTTTCTTATTATTTCAAACGAAAGAGTCGCCCGCATGTCGAGGAGGGTATAGTGAATGCTATAGAGTCGCGGGGTTAGATTCGAGTCCGGCTGCAGGACATGGACCGGTCTTTCAAATGAGACCATTTAAATTGAGGTCGCGTGTTTTGTGCTGGCACAAGAAAGATTCCTCACTGCTCAAAGGCAGTAAGTGTTGAATAGAAGTCTTAGAAATTTTTGTTGCAAAATTGTAATTAACTGTTTCAATGACGCAAAAAAAAAAAACGTATATAAACTTCTGTTGTTCATATTGGCGATAGAAGAACTATTTATAAGCTTTGATAGAAGCAAAATTCCATTATTGTCGTCCTGTACAATATTGATTTCTTATATTTAATACTACATATTTGCTTGTACAAAATCCTTTATTCTGAAACAATTTGATACTTTATTTCTGTCTAATTGATCAAAAAGGTTTAAATTATATACAAATTTATCATAATAACACATTTTAACAGCAAAATAAAATTCTCAAAAATGCAGCTCATATAGCTTTAATAAACATAAAATAGATATGAGACAATACAGGACACACAAACAAGGCATTTATAAGGCACAATATATATAGCTGTTTCCCAACTACTAGTACTAAGACACCGAAAGCAGGGGGCCAAATTCTTTAAATTTGCTTGTAGCTGTTTAAATTGGAAAAAAATATATTGTGGGAAAAAAAAACAAACTTACACATTCAAATTTTTTTTTAATATACAAATTTGTTTAATAGTATTTTATTTATCTGTTTCTTGAAACTTGATATTAATTCAGAATTAAATGTCCTGTGAAGATTCTGTAATTTTCGTAAGACAGATGCTCATAACTGCCGCTTAATATGAAAGCAAGGTTACAGACAATAGTTTTGGAGGAAAGCAGTATGATCACATCCTAAATTTTTGACCTAAGTTGTTATAAACCAATTGTAGGGTCCATGAAATAGATAATCGACTGAGCGAGTAAGAAGTAAACTCAAAAATATCAAAAACAAATTCTATTTACATCATCTTGTAAACAACATGTACTTCACATTCAACTACTAAATATATTTGTGTACAAAATGTGATAAACTTATAAACTACATTTATTGACAGCCGTCTAATGAAAGTAGAAATTTTTAATTTTTAATGTTTTGTTATTCCAAATAATTGAATAGTGCAGACATTACTGCATGATAATACAAGTTCCGACTACAGACGAAAACACAAATAATATGTATCTGGTTCAATGAGCTCATTTCATGAGTGAGTTGCCTTTCAATTGAAAGAAAGCACTAAGCAAACAAATGTGTCATCGACACTTTTTTTTGCAAATTTTTTTTGCAAGTATTAGATTCGCCTAGGAAAACAACGCACTAATGGCGGTGTCCTATTGAGTAATAAAGAAAAGGAAAGGTGCTTCTGCACCAATTTTTCAAAGGTTCATTTTTATGGTAATCATAACATCATCCCACACGTTGATTTCGCGTTTTCACTTGGATAATTCTTTAAGATTAAGATACTTAGGTATAAGTGTCGAATGCGTATCAGGATCTGAGACACACAAACTGCATCATCAATAGAAATAAAGGAAACGTCAATGATTTGAGGAATTTAAGAAGCATTAGTGATGAATAACCCGACATTCTTTTTTATGTTAACATGTCTTGGGAGAAACTGTAGTTGTAAAACTATTCTCGCTACATTCATCTATCATTCAATATTTGAGATGTTTTTTTTTTTGTACAAAATATTTGACAAATGTCTCCTCCCTGACAAATCTTTTTTTTTTCATTTTTGAAACTGGCGTTATTTGTATTTTTTTTTAAATCACGATTACGGAGTAAAACACTTAAATAATAAAAATGATTCAAAGGTATATACCCCATTACAGAAGAAAATTATATTTTCTCTCAAAATGAAAAGGGTTAACTCCATTAAATTCTGAGTAATATACATTGTACCTGTTATAGAATTGGGTAGACTTTTAAAGAAACAGGTTACTGTATCAAACATGAAACTACGAAGAGGAATCTAATCACGCTTAAGAAGGGGGGGGGGGACATTTCTTCGCTTTTAACAAAAAAGTACTCGATGAAGATGGATACTGGTTCCCGGCCAAAATGTCCTTTAAACCACCCTGTTTTTCTGATATGCACTGATTTCTTTCACTTGTCATTCTTTATTTGCAGTCTTAGAAATTTCTCCCAGGAAACAAACATCATTATTTCGTCATCCTCAAGTTTCCTCTTCTCTTCCTTATTGTATATATATATATATATATATATATATATATATATATATATATATATATATATATATATATGTAGTGATAACGTAAAATCAGACAGTGTGTTACCGCCCCCGTGTGTTTTACCAGGTATTATCAGAGGCATTGGGCAAGGGGAATGTCGTCATCATCATCATCTGTCAAGCGATTTCTTTACCAAACTGGTTATCATCAGCAAAAGAGAGATACCCCACATGTCTGCAGTATTGACAATTGTTGACGGCTTAACTGAGTCCCATATCGTATTCACGCTGTGCAGTGTCTGGTCTTCATTGTCTCCGCACACTTGATGTCCCGTTGGAGAATTTTCCACTCATATAGAGACGTCACAATGTACCGGTGAAGGGCTTCAAATTTTGACCTTTACTCGGTACTCAGGGCCATTGAGCAGTGAGGGATCTTCATCATGCCAACGCCTACCGAGACACGAGGCCTCGGTTTATTAAGGTGTCATCCGAAAGACCCGCAACTTTCACTTCAAAGTGTCCAACGCTTGGCGAAGGAACAGTTGCTTGCTATTTATTATCGACTTAGGTCAGTCGTGGATGTGATTTGAACACATGACTTTCCGATCACGGGGCGAGTGCTCTTCCGACTAAGCTACCGTGACGGTTAGAGAGAGAGAGAGAGAAATAATTACCTGGGGCCCTTTTTACAAAAGAACCAAAAACTTTAGTTGATTGTAAAATTTTTCACAATTAATTATTCTGTTTGAAATTGCTACCATTAAATTTCTTGTTAAATTCTTTTAAAAAAGATTTAAACCATTTTCAAATCAATGTAAATTAGAAACTAATTAGCAGAATTAAATTTCGGTCTTAGTCTTTTGTAAAACGGGCCCCTGGTTTGCAATATATCCGGTCTTGCGTTTGTTCTTTGTTATGAATATCAACATTTTCTTGTTTCTCGATCCATTTCTTGTTTTATTATTTTTTTACGTTGTTTTTTTTTTCGAAGAATCTACAGAAATTGACATGTCCAAATAAGGAACTACCGGAAGGTTAAGGAAATACTACAAATACTCGTATATTATCTTGTTCTCGGGTCCTTGAGGACTCGTAGAATTTATAAAAATTTTCCAAAGGTTTTATAATTATAGGTTCCTTAGATATAGTGTCTCAACTTCGGCCTTTCTGAGCTGGTCTAAGACTGCCTTAAAAAAATCTCCCCTTTATGACTTTTGCTGTCATACCTTAAGCTGATTTTCATTTAAAAAAAAGAGGTTCTGCACCCTCGTATACTGATTACATTCAAAAACACCTCTTTATTATCAAGAAACATAGAAAAGGAGTCATCTCAGCATGCAAAAGACGAAATAACAAAGGACACTGGAAGCGGGGCCACTAAAAATTATTATAAATTGCATTTTGTTAGATATGTTTGATTATGAGCTAGAAGTTCATATGTTACATTTATCTTGATGGTTGACCGAGTCTTTAATTCATTCAATTTAATATACAAGCTTACAAACTGGCATTAAAATTATGATATCAGCAAAAAATTAGAATTGTAACGAATGACTGCTCCATCACGGTTAATTTGATTAAAGAACATCTTTTTATGAAGCTTTATTGCTTGTGTTTTGAGGGTTATATAAAAGAACCGTAGATCGTCTCCTGTTCAGATAATGCAAAGATGCAGTTTGCGTTGGCTCTTGCAGCGGTGACCTGCTGGCTTTCAGCCCGAGAAGTCGTTGCAGGTAAATGTAACTTAAATTAGCACTTCTTGTTCATTTTCCTAATGATATTGAGTCGTTGAAGGCAATTTTAACTTATATTCACACTTCTTTTCTATTTTAGCCAAGCATATTGAGTCGTTGAAATTAATTGGAACTTAATTTCACACTCAATTCTATTTTTATTTAATCATACTTAGTCGCTGAAGGTAATGGTAACTGAAATTCAGACTTCTTTTTTATTTTTCAAATAATACCGAGACCTCTAAGGTAACGGAGATTAACTTCACTTAAAAAAATCCAATCGTACTGAGTCGTTAAGGTTAATGGAGACTTAATTTCAATTTTTAAAAGAAAAAAAAAGTTCGAATCGTCCCAAACATCAAAAATTCTGAGTCGTTGACGGTAAAGATACATATTTTCACTCTTTTATTCTACTTTTACAATCATACTGATCTAATATCACCTTGTATTTTAAGTGAATTATGCCACACAGTAAATGCAGTGCAACATCAATATTGCAAGTCATAGTTCTCTGACTTTACTTTGCTGTTCTGTTCACTATAAGCAGAACAGATTTTTTAATTATTAAAAATAAGTTGAAAACTAAACTTCCATTTCACCAGCCAAAAGAAATGTGAATGGCCTTTACCTATTTAAGACTATGTTAAATTTATGCTTGATAGAAGACTGTATCATGGTTATTTAATTTAGGGCGATTAGTAATATTTTGATGAAATGGTCGGTTAATACATCTTGATGCTTTATTAATGAAAAAAAAAATATTTTCAGGTTTTTCCCATGATGCTCGTCAGAGCTTTTATCTCGATCTGTTGGGTTTAGAGAAACAAGGAGATGCTGTTCAACCATTCGATGTGATGGAACGACGCAGTGAAGCACCAAAGGTAATTAAGGTTCATTGGCTCTTAAGTAAGAGAGATAACTCTCCCTGACTTAGATCAACAATAAAATACTCTCTTTGTTGAATTTGGAATGATGGAAATAGAAATACATGACCCGTAAGCAGGATTCATCATTTTTATCCCCTTCCAATTGCTTAATAATTTATACTTGTCTTGAATTAATTTATATGAAGCAGGTCAATAAATACATAAATATTATATTATCTACCTTTGCATCAGTAGTAAACCCTAAAAAAACTTCACCTCTGCAACCTTTTTGCATATTTTATTAAAGTCTGAATTAGAACCAAACTCGATTTTATGTAAATTGTTACTTTATCTTGCTTCAAGTAAATAGGAAGTGTTATAAGATCTTTAGTAGATTAAGACCTTTATTAGATTAATATTGACTATTATTTACTTTAAAAATGAAAAGCTTCAAATAAAATTTCTCTTCAAAATGTATTCAGAACGTAAGTATCTCCTTTGTTCCGTTTCAAGCTTGATCAAACACATTAAAGAACCATTTAAAACTTGAGTTGATGCATAAAATGTTAAGTAATTTGCAGCGCTGGATATTTATGTACACATTTTAGCACTTAGACACCCCCTCCAAGAAATCTAAGTATGTATTCTTAAGGTAGGTAGAATTTAACCTGTTTATGCGATTTAACTTTCACAAAAAATTAACGCGTGTTTTTGCGTTTTAAATTTTCAAAAAGTTTAAGGGAAATGAGAAACAATATAAGTTAAAGCTTTACTAAATTTGACTACTTACAATTGCTGTAATAATACAATTTTAAGAAGAAATACATAATAGTATGATGAGCATAACTATAAAAATCCTTAAAAATTTATAAGTAGTTAAATAATAAACTTACATTACTCTTCATAAGATGAAATTTGAAGTAATGAAAGGTGATAGATGGAAGCTCTAGCATTTATTTTATTTTAAACAAAATTTTATCTGAATCTTAAGAAAGCGATAAAAAAAAGCATAGACACTTAATGTTTTATACTTTGACATATCATTACTGACGGTTTATTGTAGATTCCTAAATACACGCAAGGAATTAATTATCGCTTTACTTCGCGAGAAACGCATTTAATTTCAAGTTGCTGAAATCCAAAAAAAAAAAATAAATAAATAATAAAATAAATAAATAAATATAATCAACCGTCCATATTGTTCTCACGATTTGACGTCAAGCAGCCATTTCCCAATAATAAGTACTCGCGAAGATAAGGAATCTACAGTACTGGTCAACTTAACTATAGTTAAGCATGTAATAATAAGCTTTCCTTTGGGGAGTTTGCATTAATTGCTAGTAAGAAAAATAATTTTATGGCACGTACTGGTATTTCAAGAACAGACTATTTTGTTTAAGGATGAAGATCTTTACGGACAAACTGTTGTTATAAACGGAAAAGAATACATGGTGGGCAACTCTCTCTCTCTCTTTCTCTCTCTCTCTCTCTATATATATAATTTTAATTTTCTTCTATTTTATTTTTCCAAAATAATTATAAACAAATTCAGGATGATGGTCTTAGGTAACTATTGTTTCGCTTTTTTGCCAAAAGAAAACGCAGACACAGTCCAATTTTTTTGAGGGGGGGGGGGGGTACACAAAAGATCGTCTATTCATTTAACTTATCTTTGATAAAGAACAAAATGTTTTCTCGTTTAATATATATTGTTTTCTTGTTTTTTAAGAAGAAGTTAAACATGTTTTGAGGCCAAAAAATTACATACACCAAAAATGTGGATACCGGCAATTGTTTTTGATAGAATTGCAACCTTTTGGAATATTGCTCAAATTTCTCCTATATACCTTGTTTTCAGAAGTTTATTAAAACGGCAATATATCGGGATGAGTTATATATCATTGAAGAACCTCTCGTCAAACCTAAACATTTGTGGACTTACATTAAGAACATATGTAATATATGTGTATTATTTCAGCCCAATATTACTCTTAGCCAAAACCCTATGGAACTGGAACTGAGGCAAACTAAAGGAAAAATGTTTGATATGCAGGTTACGTTTTTTTATCAGTCATACTTAATTTTTGTGATGATAAAATATCTTTTGCGTGATAATAATGAGCTCCTAGTCTTCTTATAAAATTCTTGTTACCTGGGGTACAGGATTCAGGATAAAGCTAAATTTGGTTAATATTTTACAGTTTATAGTGTAAAAAAATAAACTTTCTTCTTACTTAAGATAAACTGAAAAATAAGCTGAATAAAATTGATATCGATTAAAGAGACGTTGAGTTTCCAGACAAATTCAAGATATAGTCCTAAGACTCGTAATATTCATTTAACCGTCTGGTCTCTAGGACATCTCCTGCTTTTTTTTTCAACGCCCATGAATTAAGTTATCCTTTATAGTTGCATATTCTCCTCTAAAATCGTCCATTTGCAAACATAGGGGAGACATATTGGAAAAAGAAACTTTGAGGTCGATTTCATTTCGAAGTTGTGGCCGAATAACAAAGTCCCATATATCATCGAGCAAGGAACTTTTGGTAAGTTTACTTTGATTTATTTTGCAGGATCATATATAAGTTTTATATATATATATATATATATATATATAAATACTGATATTAAAAAAGAGGACACTGCAACTAGGGCTGGGACGATATATCGAGATATCGATAATATCGATTCAATGTGAGGATGATACGCATATCGATACGTATGAAGAAATATCGAAATATCGCCTAAAAAATTCTGACATATGTTTTTCTTTGTTTACTTAAGATTTTGGGTTTAATATATAAAATAAATATGCTTAATATAAATATAAATATGAAATGCATAATAATTAACACCACTGGTGTAAAATAATTAAGTTTTACAAAAGATATACAACTTCTTTGCATAAATTATTCTTATTTGTGAAGAAATGTTTTGTTCATTTCAATATAAAAAAAGAATTTATAACCAATTAAACATATCGTGATACATATCGTATCGTGGCTCAAATATCGGGATACGTATCGATATAGAAAAAGTTGTATCGTCCCAGCCCTAACTGCAACCAAGAATTCTTTTCTACGATAAAGTGTTACTAGTGTCATGTGTCTTATCTGGTATTTGTGTTCAACACTGTAGATACTGTGATCAAACAAAGTCTTTTTCTGACTTATCCGGATTAGATACCGAACTGTGAAGGTACTCACTTTTTTCGGAAAGGTTAAATTACTTGCAGTCAGCTTTAACTCAGGCGAACATAATATTCAGCCATACACAGAATCGGGGTATGGGTGTGAAGATGCAGAGGGCCTGCCCCATACTTTTTTGTGAATTGTAAAATGTTTGTCCCCCGCTTTCACTGAAAGTGGGGGGTATTAATTTGGGTCTGTCTGTCCGTCCGTCTGTATTTCTGTCTGTCTTTTATGCTTTCGTTTCCGCGAGATATCTGGAGAACCCTTTGAGCTTTTGCAATGAAATTTTGCATAGCAACTCCCTATGGCCTAAAGAAGAACCCTATTGATTTTGAGGCCAAAAGGTCAAAGGTCAAAGTCATAAATTGTCTGTTTTTACACTTTCGTTTCCACACGATATCTAGAGAATCCTTTGAGCTTTTGCAATGAAATTTTACATAACAACTCCCTGTGGCCTAAGGAAGACCTCTATTGATTTTGAGGTCAAAAAGTCAGAGTTCAAGGTCGTAAATTCATACATTCCGTGTGTGTAACACTTTCTTTTCCGGACGATATCTCAAGAAGCTTTTGAGTTTTGCGATGAAATTTTATTTCATAACTCCCTAGGGCCTTTCTCACCCCTCTTAAAGTGTCCCGCCAAGTTTTTTAATTATTATTTACATGTATTGTATTAAAAGTCGCATGGCACTATATTTAGCACAGGGGCATGTGGAGAGTTATTACGTATAATACAGGTTTTCTGCGGACATTATATTATTATTACATCTATTAGAACTGTTTAGTAAAGTCTAAATTAGACACCATGTATTGATTAAAATTTTGACAATATCGAACGTGAATATAAACAATATATGTGACTTACTGTTTGCATTTAATTTGCTCTATACTCAAGTGCCTCCGTGGTCTAGTGGTATGTTGCTCGCTTAGCAAGCGAGAGGCCCGGGTTCAATCCCCGGACGATTCTTTTTTTTTTTTTTTTTTTTTTGATTTACTAAATGAAACATGTGAAATGAAAAAGTTATGATGTCTGGCGTGTACAAACTCATCATTATTACAGTGTGATAAATATTCTGTAAATTAATAATAATCTTCTATACACATATTAAAGAATAAGCAATGAAATCTTTATATCCGTATTGGCATTTTTTTTTAAATTTGCGTCAATATACATGTATACATTTAATAATTCTACAAAAACAGGGGGCAGTGTGACCCCCCACCCCCACCCCCGAACTGCGCATGCTTTTCTTTTTTCCCTAAGCGGGGGTTACAAATTCTCTGAATTAGCTTGTTACTTTTGCCGCGGGTAATAGACCTCAACCCCTCCCTCCCCCTCCCAATAAAATATTTGAGTTTGGCTTTTTCCATACAAGTTGTCATTTTTTTTTCTTATAATGCCCTCTTTCAAAATTAATCCTATAAACGTGCCTGAAAATTATTTTCTTCCCTACATCGCACCTTAAAAAGATTTTAAATTTTCAAACTAAAAAAACTGATTATGTTTAATTTCACTCCTCGTTTCATTGCCTTTGGCTAGACTTCAGCAAATATAAACAATTAAGATGGTATGTATAGTTGAGTGAGATTGTATCATTATACAATAAAACATTTATTGCTGGGGGTTATTTTTTTGAGTCAATACCATGATTTAGCCACCGTCGAATGACAACATCCCCCCCCCCCCCGGGCGTGGTGAATATTGTACTTCTGAGGTGGCTAAATAATCGAATTTACTGAGAAATCATATTAAGAACAGAATGAGCAAATATTACGCAGTTGCAAAATTCCCATGCATTACATGTAATTGTTAGTCTGTTTGAAAATATCAAACGCATACGTTCACGTAGTTGTTTTTAGGAATGTAGAATTTTCACAAAATTTATGTTTAGATAAAATGTAGAATTGTAGAATGTATACATTGTAGAATAGTGTTCCGATTTTAACTAATTATAAAGGCCTTTTGCACGTTTAGTATAAGAAGTTCTATACTAGCCAGTAGGTATGTTTTTTAACCAGGAGACAACTACGCAAAAGCCAAGACGTTAATCGAGGAGGCGGCGAAGCAGTTTAATGACTACACCTGTGTGAACTGGGTAACTAGAACATCAGAGGATCATTACGTCAGATTCGTCGGAAATGAAGCCGGGTATAAATTGTCTCTATATCCCAGATTCCTTCTATCAAATAACATACTGCATGATGACTTTTCTGTCTCCATTATGACTTAAAGCTGAACACGACTCGTAAAAAGGCATACGCCATATTCGATTATACTATCTACGATATCAGCAACGGTATATACCCTTCGCATTCGTTACACCTGACTGCTTTATTGTTACGGGTATCAGCGTGGAATGGCGACACATGTTCATGCTGGTTATTTTACATTGCCTTTGTCTATTTATTTTATTGCAGCTATGTGTATTTGTGTTTGTTTGTATACTGCATTGACCTGTGCTACTGTTGTAAGTTTCTTTGGTATCTTACTCTCCTGGCGCATAAGTACACAGTTACCTATTGTCGCTACCGAGTGCTGTGTAGCATATGTCCGTCTGCACCGGTGACAACTGATTACAATGAACAGTGACTAAGTGAGTTGCTTATATAGGGGCTCTCAGATATAGCCAGTGAATAATCAAATATGGCGGACAAATTCCTTTTACGAATCGTGTTCAGCTTTAATTATTTTCTTTCTTTTTCCGTATCCGTTTTATTTATCAAATTTGCTCTGACCATAGATATTTTGCTTTTAAAGTTTTTTTGTAGAAAAAAAACTTCGTTATCAAATAATATGGAGGTCTTTTCCCATCACGAGTTATATAATTACATATACATAACCAGGCTTTGACGCTCTTTTCACTATTTATTCCTCATGTCCTATATATCAAACGCATACGTTCACGTAGTTATTTTTAGGAATGTAGAATTTCATGAAATTTATGTTTAGATAAAATCGCGTTTGCATACTGCATTGTTTTACAGATGCTACACCACAGTTGGTTACAATATGTTTTCATACAGAAAAAAGGTCAATTTCGCCCCTGGATGTTTAGAGGTAATATTTATATAAGTTAAAGTATATGGTCGTAATGTATTATGTGTGAAATAAAATAAGGAGATAACGAACATTTTTGGACATTTAAATTTTCCAAAGACAAAATTGATGTAAATGCTTCAAGGCACATAAAAAGAATGAAAATTTGCTAATTCAAAATAATTTTTCAACCTGTGATATGACAGATAGAGTCAGTAATCCATGAAATGTATCATGTTGTCGGCGGGACTCATGAAGTGCAGCGATTGGACAGGTCGGATCACGTAAACATCCTATGGAAAAAAATCAAAGGTTTTCTGATGGATCAATTCATTGTCGATAAAGCTACCAGAGACAGATTCCCGTACGACTATCATTCTGTCATGCAGTATAGATTGAGTGTGAGAAAACAAATTTTTTTTTTAAACTGAATTTAATTTTAAGACATAATTTTCTTACCAGCAGCAGTCTGTCATTTACTTGAAAAGAAAAGTCGTTAAAGCACTATCAGAAATGTTCTGAAAAGCATTTTAACCTTTTGTCAAAGTTATATTATGTCACTGATTGCTAAGAACATAAATGAGTCTCTGTAGAAAAGAGTTGTGTATGCAAGAAAATTGTATTATTTATAAGAAAATGAATAAAAGTTCATTTATCATCAAATGAGTGAAATGTTTATTAAATGGACATGATAAGCTAGGAAGAAGGTAAACTTCATTTACATTCACGTCAACTACACCAATTTAGTACGATTTACATTTTTCTCCTTTTCTCAGACATTTCCTCAGTATCCGAATGAAAACACCATTGCACTGCCCGATCCCGATTTGAATTATTTGGCACTGGTACCCAAGAAAGGTTTCTCTTTTCTGGACATAGCGGAAATAAATGACGCCTACCAATGCACAGGTTTGAATTCAAAATCCCAGTTTATTTCCAGTGATTTTGAGGAGGAAAAAACTTGAAATTATATCTCCTATTTAGCGTTTTGCTATAATTATGACTATTTACAAGCATCTTTATCTTGCAAAAAATATTTAATGAATGAAATATATGCATTTATTATTTCTTTCCTATTATTCATTAACATTTATTGGATCATGCATTCATATATCTTTCCTCACTCCAACCCTTTCAAATTTTACAATTTTATGATCTTTCATGTATACAGAGAGTTGTACAATTAAATGCCATAATGGCGGGTTTCCTACCAAGCCCGTGGGGGCCGGTTGTAAATGTCATTGTCCGTCAGGACTTACAGGAGCGGACTGTACAGGGGTGGAGAACAGCCAAAGTAAGTGAGAACAAGGTTGTTTGACTTTATAAAAGAGAGATAATTCTCGCTCGCATATATGTCTATTACTACTTTCTGAACTACCTCATGTCAAATGTTGCCTCGTATGATATGCTTAAATTGTAGGCAAGTGAATAATAGATTTCACTTGTTTATAATATTTACATGCATAAAAGGAACATTTTCTGTGAATAGAGGGATGGCATACAGTGTATGTTGACTTAATACCAAATCTCCTTCGAAAAGTAGAATGACACTACTATTTCGCGTCTGTAATGTTCATGTAGGAAATCCAACTTTTATTTTAAAGAATAAGGAGAAATCAAGCAATAAAGGAAATTTAGCGTGGTTTGATTTTTTTAAATAGATTGTGGTGAAGTTATTCACTTACACACCGGAAGTGATCGGACAATAAAGATAAGTAATTATCAACAGGGAAGAGAGTGTACGTGGATAATAATGGTAAGGCTTTTTAAAATGTAGCGCAATTTGATTTAATCAAAGTACTGAAAATACTGAATCGAGGTGACGAATATAGTGCAACTTGATACAGAAAATTGTAGAAACGCATTTATTTTGTTTAGTAGTAGTAATTATAGTTATAAATTTATTGTCGGATTGTGTATACATGTATTGTGCAAAAAAAAAACAAAACAAAAAAACAACAAAAAACAAAACAAAAAAAGCTTTATGCTCTTTAACCTACTGGTATCATAAAACAATTTAAGCTTACGTAAAATATACATATACATATAAGACAAAAACACCTTTTAACTTACACGCGCATATACCTATAGACAGAAACCCATACAGAACACACGCATTGGACACGTAAAAACAAGCAAAACACTTATAAACACATAAAAGTTCGAAAAAGGCACAACATAAGATTGATTGATTGATTGTATGTTGTTTTATGTCATAAGAACATACACATATGTACAGATATAAACAACAAATGTCTTTTACACATGAAGGGGGAAAGGGGTCAAGACAGCACTATTATAGTAAAAGTAAAAACTTTTATAACAATGTAAATTCCAACTATAATTTCTTTATACTTCAAAAGTCAGACATAACTCCAAGTTACAACATACAATTTTCATTTGATTTTTCATGTTAATCCACCGAAAACATAAATGCTAAAAATGCATTAGATTTGGTGCACCAGATTTTAAAAATTCAAATCATAGAGATATGTACTTTAGTACTGTAATTGAAAAAAACATGATATAAAAATAAGAAATTTTTCGATATTGGATAACTTCTTTTATATATGTATAACTTTATCACCTGCTCAAGAGCATGTTATAAATAAAAACAATGTCACAAACGAGGCTAGCTACTGATAAATTAGTTGATGATACAAAGATATCAAGTATCTTGTTAAAAGTCAACATTTGCTAATTCTGTTATCAATACAATGACTTTGTTTGCGAATACAATCTGTCGTTTACTCGAATGCCGACTGTCAGTATCATACTGAATTTTCTATGGATTTTTTTTCCCATTATGACAAGGAGCACACGGCGGGCATGACCGGTCGACAGAGGATGCTTACTCCTCTGTGGCACCCTATCTTACACCAAGGTCACTGTTTTCTCTACTCAAAATTTGTAATGTTTAATTGGACGTTTGAGCTTGATTACTGTTCTTTATCATTTCTGTTATTGACAAAGGATACTCGATATGAAGAATATCCTTTACAGTAAATAAGGGGAGAATCACTCTTCCTTGGGTATATTGAAATAAATACAAAATGAAGACGTAAGACTTTGTTAAACAGGGAAATCCTGGCTCAAGAATACGTGCCATCGTAACGTTTATGTCGCTGCCGTACAAACAAGATAAAAAAACGTGTGAACATTGGTTAGAGTTCCGGGACTACCACATTGGAACTCCAGGAAAAAAGTAAGAAACATTTGAAAGTTACTGTTCGTGTAGTTGAGGCTAAATATTTTACCGATATATTGGTGTCATATACTCTCTTTCAACGTCCAACAACAAGTATATGATAAATTTTAATTATTAACAAAAAATGAATATTGTAATTTTTTTTATCATAAACTTGTACTAGTTAATCATAGCATTCAACGATGTGTTTGAAATTAAATTTCTCAAAGATCCTTAAAGCAAAATCATTAATGTATTATAGAACAATTACAAATTTATGAACGATTTATTTGGACTTGACAATTATTATTTAATGAAAATTTCAAATTTAATTATACAGACAACATAATATAAAATTTGAACAGAAACAGTATGACAAAAAATAATTTGAAACACAAATATTTGTTGGAGATGGTACTGAGATGTTTTCCTCCAAATAATTCTCTCTCTCAAAAACTTTTTTTTTGTTGAAAATGATGTGTACGCAATTGCGTATAGGCAGCTACGCGCGTGTACAATAAGCCTACCTGAACAATAAAAATTATTTAAATCTTAAAATATCTTCTACATTTAAGTACAGAACTAAACCAAGGAAGCCAAAAATTAGCTTAATGGTTTATACAATAGTAAATACTTCTTCGGTGAAAAATTGTTTTCTACCGTTTTTCTAAGGTTGTGTGGCAGCATTCAGGAAGCGAGTGACATGAAGTCATACAAAAAATATTTGGTTGGGAATCCAGCGATGATGATGATGAGATTCAATACAAAGAACCAGATTTCTTCTACCGCAGGCAGATACGTCACAGTAAACGTGAAGGCTTTGGCGTCAGGTAGGTTTTACATTTGGCGTCAAGCAGGTTCACATTTGATAACCTGTGTTTGTATCACTTGAAATGATGTTAACAAATTTATTATTTCAAAATATGAATTTGGAAAAAAAAATTGAAAAGAGAGTAATGTTTAATTTTGAAAAATAATTTAAATTATTATGAATGAATTAGCAGCTAGCATTTCAAACTTTTTTTTCCAAGACAATTTGGCTCAGTACTGTTGTTTCAATGAACTGTTCTCTTTAAACCAAAAATTCCTAATTAAGTAGAATTCCACTACAACAGGTAAAAATAACAAATATTGAAATGCAATGTACATACTTTCCCCTTAATACATGTATCACAACGAATATCAATTATACCAGAAGTCGAAATAATCAATACAAATAACCTGACAACTTTAGAGATGAAATGAGGAGCCATTGAGTAATATACATCCCCGGTTATAGCCGCCAGGAACCCTTTGTCGGATGCGAATTACAATTCTTATTGAAAAAACCTTAGTCTATTCCAAAAGTTTGTATTTGCAATCAAGGTCATTTAATCGACCGCAGGGTATGCACAATGTTAATGCAAAACTGTTGATACACTTGTAACGTCGACTTAATTGTCAGTAGCCTCTCTCGGTTTAAACTTTTTTGTAATCATTACATTCTCTTTCGTATGGAATCAACTTAGAGACATAAACACCATATACTGGTGATAATGCTATTTATACTGAAACGCAAAAGAAACGCTACAAGCAGTAATCTACAAATATTTGAATTTTTTATCTAATGATTTTCAAAAATGAATACAGTAAGGTTTAACTCGATTTAAAAACATCAGAGATTTGATAAAAATGTTAAATAATTATCTTTTAACTTTAGAAAGGAACTCATGACTGTTAACCCCCCACCCCCACCCCGGCTATTCAATAACAGCTTGCAAGACTGCCATACACAACAATTGCAGCTTGATTTCTACGATGCAATAGGTTCATCAATCTCGAGCTCTGAGCGAAAGAAATATTCTTTGCCATTTTTTAAATGTCTGTTTTTAAGAGGACGAGGTCGAATTTCCTCTAGCCTTGCGCAGTGTAGTAACCCTTGGACTTCTGGTCCAAGGACTGTTATTCGTGCTAATGATACGTAAAAGCCTCTTGAGGCGTGATGTATAACATATTTGCATCTCTAACTCTCCTTCACCTATATTTTGAGATTTTCAGCTAGAGCAATGGAAATTGCGTACTTGTCATTTCCAGGAAATCTTGGCATAGGTTATGGAAAAGAAAGGATAATTTATTTTTCGGAATATTGCTGAATTACTTATGATGAACAGATACAAATCATTAAAACTAGGGATGTCAATTTTGTCAATAATTCATATTCGAATATTCAATGAAAGTATTCGAATATATTCGAATATTCGATAAAATAAATAAAATCTGTTTTATTTTAAATATGCATCATCCTATTCACATGAAAGGTTTAGCGTAGGTATACTTATATTGGAAGAAAAACGGTACGAGGACTTTTGTAGGTGTACAATAAGAAATTCCATTTGATATTTGCCAATGTTTGAAATAAATTAAATAATTGATTTAAATGTAGAAAAGTATAATTTTAACAAATGAAACATGTGTATTTATAGTAGCTCCAACTGAGGAACCAGTTGTCTTACAAAAGACAAGATAGTCGTAACGGTATACTGTTCAGATTTCAATACGTGTAATAAATTACAATTATCTGGCTAATAAGAGATATGATTATAATCTTTGATACAATGTAAACAAATATTTCCATAGACAATTTTTCTAGGTAATTAATTAATTTCCCGATAATGAATATAAAATTCAGGATTATGTACAACCCGAGATAATCAAGTAATTTACACATTTATCTGAAATTAAGCCCTTTACAATTTAATTACAGATTAATTCTATCGGACATTCATTCAATGATCAATTAATTTTATTTTGATAAGTATATATACTTTTCACGCCTTTAAAACATTCTAAGATTTCATTTTGTTGTCCTCGATTCTAGATCCGATCGTATCTAATAAAAACTATATATGAAAGTACGTTTTGTATTATACATACAGCATTATTGCACAATTCTTTAACACCTTACTCAAAACAAAATACATATAGTTTAGTAGATCTATAAGATAAGAAAGTAGTGAAAGAAATCAGTCGATCGAAATTGATCGCTAGTAAATTAAATAGGGATAATTCCAGCACTGTTCTAATCAAATTTTATTAATCACAGTACTTCTTTTTTATGAAATCTGAAAAACACCGAATATTCGAATCTTAAATTCATATTCGAATATCAATTCATCGAATGAATATTCGAATGTTCGAATATTCGTTGCCATCCCTAATTAAAACCCCATATTATTGCCAAATGTTTTGTTAAACATGCAATTTTTGATTTCTGTGAAGCGGACTCAAACTTAACTTCCGGTAATAGTATGAAAATCTTTCAACCGTTAAATTACCGATTTTTACTTTTAAGATACAAAATTATATCCTATATATAATATTTTCCCCTAAAATAGGATGTTGCGTTTCTTTCGCGTTTCAGTATGTCTATAGATCATTAATAAAGCTGATGTCCAATAGAAAAACTGAGGTTGTCACCTTCAATATAAAGTGCACTTGCAATCGGTCGAAAAAATGTTCTTTTTATATAATTTAAACTTTATACATTTATTGACGGGAGCCGAGAGCAAAATGTGTTTTGTTGAACCTAAGAAGCAAAGTTTTTGCACGAGATCGTAAGGCATAAGATAACAGTTTGGATCGAAGGGTCGACAAAATTTATTTTTTGAGAACCCTGTCAATAAATGTGTTAAACATTTATATTGGAAGCATTGGAAATATTTAGATCAATTAAAAAAGATTGAAAATTTGCACATTTTAGCATATATATATGTAGTTCTTAAATGGACACCGAAATCGGTTTGTAAGCAGAAAACCATCCCTTTACAGCAAGTTTTTTGAAGAACTCCAGCTGGAGTTAACATCAGCCTAGGTAGAATAGACAAATATGAAACAAGCAAGTCATATCAGCACAAAACTATTGATTTCCTTGGATGTCTAATTTAGTTTTAAAATTCAGTTCAGTTAAACGCAATTTTTTTATCCTTCAGGATGAAAAACATATATAACACGACCCATGATAAATCAAATATAAAGGATTATGGGTTTAAACTTAACGAAGGAATAAAATTTCTTTTACTTTGATCAGATTGTGTTTCTTCCCCATGTAAAAATGGCGCCGAGTGCCAGGAAGATCCCGTTGAAATGTCATACGAATGCTACTGTGAAAATGGTTTCTCGGGAAGAAATTGCGAAGAATTTGCAGGTAAATTTCTGTAACAACACCCCCCTCCATTACGTCATCCAAGTAACTCAGATATTCTATTACTTTTTGTCCGCTGTAATGCGTCGTCCGCATAACAACAGAATTTGTTTTCAAGCATAATTTTGCACAAAGTATGCAGATTCCAAATCATATATAAAGCATTATTATTGTAAACAAGGTATAAAGCATGTTGATTATGCAACAAAGATACTAGAAAAGAAATAACATATAAATAACATTTGGGTATTCACCTTTTGTTAGCTATATAACTTATTATTTTATAATGGTATTTTCAACCTTTTAAAGCTGAATTGTGGTATTTATTTATTTTAATAATCCTCTGCTATTCCTGTTGTATTGTTTCCAGACAATGGACATAACTTCTGTGATTTTTCCAAGGACTTAAAAACCTGCATTCTAAGTCAGGATATACAAGAATCGGACTTTATATGGACATTTGCAACAGTAAGATTCTAATTGATTTTGTGTTCCAGTCATTTCTTTATCAGATTGAATTCGAAAATTAACACGTACCTTCAGTGATATTTAAGTAGATAAGGCAATCCTTATAAACGTGTTTGTTTGCCCTCTCCCTACTGACTGGCTTAAAATGGCCGGACTCAAAAATGTTTTAACCTCCTGAAAGCAATTATTTTTTATGCATTCCGAAAAATAGATATTGAAAATTCAGCATTGATGTTGAAATTTCTGGGGAAAAAATTCTTCACCTTCCTACCGATTCTATTCTTCTATTCTGAATCGGGCGATGGTAAACTTAATTTACATTAAATTATTTTAAAGTTGGCCTTAAGTGGTTGTTTTATTGTTTCAGTACATCTGTCGTGACAGTGGTTGTAATACAGGGATTTATACACCTCAAAGTAGTGGGAACCAGTTTTTGACAATCGACCCAAATTACAAAAACAGTGCACTGTACCGGAAATCGTCAGTCCTCATAACAACCGCCAATTTTACAGGTTTACATTTCACAATATTTGTACTCTTATACACAAAGGTCAAAACTGTTAGAGCGAATTATTGTACAAGTTTTTACAAATTATTTCTGACATACTGTGAAATCAAAATCTTAGTCATGAACCTCAATAAAAAGACATTTTATAATATATTTTACCAGAATTGTACTGAAATATGAATTTCATATTTATTTGTAGTAATTTGTGTATTTTCATAAGATAGTTATATTGTTATTCAGAAAAAGATCGCTGTTTGACTTTCGATTACAACATGGGAACCTATTCAAGAGACAGCTCCCAGACCATGGTCAGAGTTTACAGGCAGGGGATTAACAGGGAGGGGGAACTCAGGGAATTACTCTGGGAAATTACTTCGCACACCAACTACAAATGGATGAAGGCCACAATTAGTATTCATAAAATGAAGAAATTAAAGGTAACATTTGTCGAAAGAGCTTAATGATTTAATGTTGACAATGCAAAAACCGTCCAGACAAATGGATGAAGGCCACAATTAGTATTCATAAAATGAAGAAATTAAAGGTAACATTTGTCGAAAGAGCTTAATGATTTAATGTTGACATTGCAAAAACCGTCCAGACAAATGGATGAAGGTCACAATTAGTATTCATAAAATGAAGAAATTAAAGGTAACATTTGTCGAAAGAGCTTAATGATTTAATGTTGACATTGCAAAAACCGTCCAGAGAGCTTGATTTTTGTATCTATACAACTCAAACCATACAGAGTGCTTAAGTACTGGGTCCTACGAATAATGCCGAAATTAAATGATCCAGTAAAACAACATGGTTCATCTTATACATTATCATGTTCATTTCATCACCATACCTTGATAAAGTGATTCAAATTAACTGTTGTCGATACTACTTAAATTGTTTCTGATGAATCGGTGCGCCTTGGTAAATAATCGGAGATTACTGGCGATATACTTTCTTGTAAGCCGGATAAAATCATGCGAAACACCAGGTGAGCTGAAAATCTTGATTTGTTGTTTACGTCCCATTTGAGAATTTTTCATTCATGTAGAGACGTTGGAAATCTTGATAGGTGGCTTCAATATGGCTTCCTTTGAGAGAAAAGTATCGTTTTTTCCCTTAGATTTAGAGTATGATCTGGCGAACTTATCATGATTTTAATAATGTTTTCTTCTTTAGTTAATGGTTTAGGATAAAACTACAGAATTTCTATAACAATATACTAGCCGACCCGCTTGATATTAAAGGGATCATAACCGTGTCGACTGAACTTTATCAAAATCTGTGTTAGCCATTTTATAAATATAATTAATGAATTGATAAAGACAATTAAAAAACAATGTAACAATAATTATTTTAATTGATGTTTAACTTGGCTGCACCCTATTTCATCATTCATTAAAAATTTCACGAATTTTGTTCATGAAAATTTCACTCTTTTTAAACATTAAAACCTCTTAGAGCCATTTTCTGGAAAAACACAGCCGTTGTATTTGTCTATTTTGGACAACAGACTAGTTGGTTTCAAGATAGTACCAGGAAAAATATATCGCAGTTGTGTTATGGCTGAAACATTTAAAACGTGGTTACAGTTTATAAACTTTAACCATTCTCCACGGAGAAGACAATATGAATAATTATTAACACATGTATACATCGATAATAAAAGCTGAGATTACAAGTATAATTTTAAATCAATGTGTAACAGACTTAAACTGTTTCATACTTAGTGCTAATAACTTTTCATATCATACTTTATTATTATTATTTTTTGAAGTAAGAAAAACAGAGAAGCCAATAAACTGCCGGTGTTCAAAGAATGATGAGTCATATTTTTTTTTATGAAAAGGCTTTTTTTAGTTCAGAAAGGTAGGAAGGCATTAATGTTTGTTCAGACAACTATAGAATGTATCCGTTTATGACGGAAATCATGCAGTCTTACATCAATAATTGAGTGTCTTCTTTTTAGATTGTATTAGAGGCTTTTATGGGTTCCCAGGAACTTGGAATTGACAATATGCTTCTTCGCCCAGGCTTGTGTAAGTCTCCGAAACGGTTGGTAATGGAACATGCATTGGTATTATACATGTACTGAAAACGCATCGAAATTTATTGATTTTTGTTTAACGCCGATTCGGTAGTATTTCAGCCATATTTTGAATTGAGAGTTCAATAACTTTGTAGGTTCTGAAACTGTCTGTAACCCAAATCCTTGTATCAATGGCGGCACCTGTCAATCAAAAGGAAGTCCAGCCACGCATTACTCCTGCACATGCCCAACCGGATACACAGGAATAAATTGCGAAAGTAAGAGAAAATTGACTTTACCAGTCTTTGAAGTTTTGTTGTTGTAAAACAGCGAAATGTTGATACAAGGCTTAAATACTGCTTCTAATTACAGTTTTCATGAAAAATATTAATTTCTTTGTCTGAAGGGCCAAAAAATAAAAATAATAAGTAATTGTAAATTATCTACATCGTACATATATAAGTTTGTTAAAGAACTTATGTCATGGTTTTAAAATTATAGCAAACTATGAATTCATTTATTTCTGGCTTGCATGTTTTCGAATTAAAGAGAAAAGTTCGATATTGAAATATTATGTTTCAATGAAGTCATCACGGTGCATTATTGAGTGTTCATTTTTTAACGGGTACACGACTGTTCTCTGCGATCACTACATTTATCTAGCTTTATTAGCTCACCGGAGCTGAAAGCCCAAGTGAACTTTTCTGATCACATTTTGTTTGCCGTCCGCCTGTCTGTCTGTCTGTAAACTTTTAAAATTTTCGACTTCTTCAGAGCCACTGAGCCAATTTCAGCCAAACTTGCTTCAAAGCATCCTTAGATAAAGGGGACTCAAATTTGTTCAAATGAAGGGTCACGTCCTATTTCAAGGGGAGATTATTAAGAATAAGTGAAAATTTGATGGCATCATTTAAAAATCTTCTTCTCAAGAAGCCAGAAAAGATTAAACTTGTTTGAAACCTTTATTATGTAGTGTAGATTCAAATTTATTCAAATCATGACCTGTGGGGTGGGGCAGGGCAAGAATAGGGGATCAAAATTGTGCAACTTCATTGATTTTACGTCCATAAGAAGACTTTTTTTTACGAATAAGAACGTCACCATATACTGGTATAAGGCTTCAGTGTTAGACCTTTACTTATCACTCATGGGATTGCTGAAAAAGAAAGTTATCTTCACTTCCAGTGCCGGACGTGTGGCGTTGAAACAGTCACTTTGTTAACCTCTTAGGTTTGTCGCGGGTTCGGGAATAAGAATCGGACCCCACTCCCCCCGATCTGGAAACGAGGCTACTACATGGCTGCCGCTATTGGTCATTTTTAGTTAGATGTATATGTTTATTTAAAACGTATATGCAGTAGCGAAGAAAGTAAATATATGTTTGCTGTTCGTTAAACAATATTATTTTGCTAAAAATGACTTGTGCAATGAAAATGTTTGATTTTTTTTCTCTAGAACATACAGCCTGTCATCTAAATCCATGTAGATATGGTGGGACGTGCACAGCAACAGGAAGTGGCTCCGGCTTCCTGTGTCACTGTCCTTCTGGGTTCTCTGGAGACAAATGTGAAAGTAAATAAACAAAAGTGAAAGTAAAAAGAGAAATGAACTTACATAATTAAGATATGAAGATCGAAAACAAGTAAGAGGAGTTCATTTTAAGATATTTATAGAACATGTTATAAATGATGACAGCTTATTCTCTATTAATGTATTTCATATGAAGGCGGATACCAAGCTCAAAGATTATATTCCTAGCTTTCAAAATAGTTACAGGTAAGATAAAGCTACGAAACAAATGTGATATAGTTATAAGTTTTTGCTTTTATTTTTAAAGATAAAAAGGTAGATCCTTGCTTGTCTGACCCGTGTAAAAATAATGGCATTTGTAAAGCTGCGCAAGCGTGGGACGGTGTTACATTTACATGTTCCTGTCAAACCGGTTATATCGGAGACACGTGTGAAGGTAAGTATGATAAATATATTAACACAATAATACAGTACACAAATTTATATAACGTCAGTTTTATCTGAACTTTTTGTGGAAGTTATAGCAGTTGATTAAATAGAGATTTGACTGAGTCCAACAAAGCCTTCCTACCAACGGATTTAAAACTGTTCATATTTTTTACGTTACTTTAAGAGAATGTCATTAATTTTAACCAATATTTTATTTCATTGTTTTAAAATTCATGCTCTCTGCATGGATTTTTAAAAAAGAAAATTGTATGCAGTTCGTGCAGGTGCAACTTTCTTTGAATAATTTCAAATCATGGTTTGTGGACCTCGTTTGGGGCTAATTAAAAGATATATGAAACGCTGGGAGACGATCTTAAAATTAAATTTTATGCAAACAGCTACATGTACATGTATGTATATTTGCTTGAATTCAATTTTCTGTTTAAATTAAGGATCCTATGGTAAGTATGGGGTAACAAGTAAAATTTACAAAAGAACCATAGAACACTTTAATCATTAAAGATAAAGTAAACCTATTACAAGAAGTAAGTTTGGTAACGTCGTGACACTGCGAAGCTACCATTGAGCAACCTTGGATTTTTTAAGTGAATTGGGCAGTTATTTATCTTGAAGAAAATCTCTGATGAACTTGGTTAAGGTTAACCAATAGGCCTTTTATTCAGTAAGTTTGTTTTTATCGATAATTAATGCAAGTATTATCTAGTAAATTTGAAAGGAAAACCTTGATCGACAGTTCTCTTTTCTAAAATATAATAATTTTTTTTTACAATTATTGACGTTTTTGAGCAATGGAATTGTGAACATTATATACTGGATAAAAACGAAAAATTATCATGTTATCATGTACCACTATCATGAATTTGTAACTAAAACCGCTCGAGGTACATCAAACAATTTTACAAATTTAATTAGCACAATCTTTTCTAACTAAACAATAAATTATAAATCATAATTAGTATTTTGTGAAAATTTGTTAACGTTTTACAAAGCAATTTGGTATGTCAAGGGGCAACCTCAAACATGACAGATTTTCTACTTCTGTGTAACTGAGAAATATATATTTCAGTTGTTATATTGAAAAATAAAATTTCTCGTCGCACATTTTGTTTTAATCAGTTTAAATTTCTTTTGGTTTTAGAAATATAATGTGAACAAAATCTCGTAATGGGACCAGCCCCCGTTTAGTATTGGCTCGCGCCTTCCGGGCTCTTGCCAAAAGCAAACAATCGGGCTGATTTTTAGAGTGTTAGCTTTCTACGATATAAATCAAGGACTCGTTCAAACAAATTAGTCAATACATAAACATTTATTCATATTCTCTTTATATGAAAGGAATGGAGGCAGACATACCTACATCCCTATATAATAGGATAAAACTTTAATTGAAATTTATTAGTCTTCTATAACCTCGTTCTTTCTGCAACTTGAAGGGTATTCCTGTACTTTCGAGACTGAAAAACATTGTTTCCTGACACAGGAGTACGGGCCCCTGCAGTGGGAACGACACGAGGTATTTTACGTACAGTTATGATAATCTTCTATATCTTCTTTTGTTACCGTTTGTAGTTCTCTTGTATCCATTAGTACTGTGAGCTTTTTATAGATTGCGTTAGTTCAAAGCAAGATCCTTTATTGTCGGAGCATTGGAAATATTTCAGCTGAAGTTTTGATAATATGGCTGTAATATTTTAGTAAAAAACAGTAAGGTAATTTTTTGATTTTTTCATATCGAAGAGTAATAGTTAAACAAGAGGCCAATGGGCCACAACGCTCACCTGAGTCAATATGGCCCTGCTGTTCTTTGTTAGCAGATTTCTTCTCCTACATATTCATAGGAGAGAGTGCTTCTATATCAATATGACTAATCATGGCTTTGCTGTTCTTGAGAACAAGATTTTTAAAGATATTTCCTATATATGTTCTTTTGTAAAATTTTGATCCCCCATTGTGGCCCACCCTTCCTCGGGGGGTCATTGATTTGAACAAACTTGAATCTACACTATGTAATAAAGGTTTCACATAATTATAAGTTTCAACTTTTTTTCAGCCTAGTGGTTCTTGAGAAGAAGATTTTTAAAAGATACCACCAAATTTTCACTAATTCTTACTTATCTCCCCTTGAAAGGGGACGTCACCCTTCATTTGAAAAAAAAAAACTTGAATCCCTTTTACCCAAGGATGCTTTGTAGCAAGATTGGTTGAAATTGACCCAGTAGTTCTGGAGAAGAAATCGAAAATGTGAAAAGTTTACAGACTGACGGACAGACAGACAGACGGACAACGGACAAAATTTGATCAGAAAAGCTCACTTGAGCTTTCAGCCCAGGTGAGCTAAAATTTTTTTTACAAGTATATTGTATATAGAATGCCCTGATCCTAAGTTACTCCATCGGCCTACGAAAAGCAAGCGTAGAAACTTCTTTAACCTGATTAAATATTTCACAGTATTAAATTTACGATTTTTATGTACATTTCCAGGGTCCCACTCCAAGCCCAAGTACGGGTCCGATGAAGGCAGCAGAGGGTCGGTTTTATCTTTATTTGGAAGCAACTGATGCAAAACCAAAGGTCGATTCAAGATTGTTTTTCATCCCAAACCATAAAAAAGGTTTGCTATTAGACACACTAACCAATATTTTCTTTATAATGCAGTTACACTTGTATCAGATATATCAAGTTCTGTTTCTAGAAAAAAAAATTACAATTGTTTAAAAAACAATACATGTAATTTATGTGGTCCATTATTAAAAAAGTTACAGCATATTCTTGTGTTCACCACGAAATACAAATTTATTGTAGATGAAATATATTGCCTACAAATGCACTATTCCTTGATTGGTAAGGACATAGGAGAACTAGCTGTATATGAGTATGACACCTTGAACTGGAAGTACAATGTTAAGGCCAGAAAAATCGGGCAGCAGCTAGCGGGAGAATGGCTGTACCTGGAAACGAATGTAAACCTCAACGCTCGTACCTACGTAAGGGGAAATTCATCCTTCACCATTCGGATTAAGTTTGCTCTCATTGTTTTTGTATTCAAAACCATTAGCTTGAGGAACCAAATATATAGATCTAAAGTAATGGTGAAAAAACATCTGTATAAAATTTAAAACACATTCATTTGCAAGTTCTCTCTTACCCATTGATACCCCTATGTAAAACGAATGTAAACCTCAATGCTCGTACCTACGTAAGCGAAAATTTATCCTTCACTATTCGGATTAATTTTGCTCTATTTCTTTTTGTATTCAAAACCATTAGCTTGAGGAACCAAATATATAGATCAAAGGTAATGGTGAAAAAACATCTGTATAAAATTTAAAACACATTCATTTGCAAGTTCTATCTTACCCAGTGACACCCCTATGCAAAGCATGGCCCTTTGAGATTGTCACTATATCAATATTATCTATAAGCAAATTTGTTGTGTATATCTCACCTAGTTCTCATTGATAATAAAGAAAAACTATACTGGGACAAAAATAAACTCATAAAAAGAATATATAACTAGAAACCTTGTTGCCATGGCAACAAGAAGGTCTTCCGTCTCTTCTCTGTCTTCGTTGAAGTTCATTCCTCACTAAACAACATGTTTATGTTGTGTATTCCCTGTAACACCTTCATACAAAAAAAAGTTCCTTTACCATGCGCTCGGCACTTTACCATTCTACCATACCTGAAAGTTTCAGGCTCCTACCTTTAACAGTTTCCGAGAACATTCACGGACTAGATTTTTAGTGGAAAAAATGAAAAATCGCAATAATTCCTGACCGGAAGTAAATTTTTCCCAACTTTTTCAATTTTTCAAAATGGCATGAGATAACACATAATTCCTGAAAATTTGGCTGAAAATTACTGAGTAGTTTTTGAGATATCGCGATTTGAAAAGGTCAAAAAAATAAAAATGAAAAATAAGAATAAGAAACAGTAGAATCACTATAAGGTCTTCCGTAAAGACGGAAGACCTTAATAAGAAACAGTAGAATCACTATAAGGTCTTCCGTAAAGACGGAAGACCTTAATTACTAAATCATCAGCCTGTTGGGAAAGTTTAAATCATTTGCAATAATTTCAAATAGAGGGGAAATGCTATCTTAAGGTTAAAACATTATTTTTATTTATTATTTTAAATTGATTTCCTTTAACAGTTGATAATTCAAGGGATGACAGGATCGGGTTACCGCGGAGACCTCGCCATAGACAACGTAAGGCTGTGGCCCTATCCATGCCCATAGGCTGTACAGCTGACCTGGATTTCTTAACTTCAGAGAATCTGAATTGAAAAAGTGTCCACATTTTTAGTTGTTTCTTTTTTTTTACGGACGGACAGAGTCTATGATTGAGAATTCAAGGATGTGTCCCTTAAAGAGAACTTATTAAAAATATGTGTAGCTAGCAAAAAAAATAATCCTTTGTGAGTTTAATGTAGAACTTGCTTCGTTAAGCTTTATTTTCAGTTTCTTTATAAATAATAATGTACATGCTTTTACAAAATTCATTTAGACCAAATGTATTAGACAATAAAATGTTTGCAAAAAACATTGTTTTCATAATTATCACATTTATCTGAAGCATTTATATGCATTCATAACATCTATTTAAAAAAATGTACAGTGATGGGCTCGTCCAATAGGCTGGTAAAAATATAATACAATGAAATAAATCTTCTTCAATGACAACCTTTGTTTAATTTGTATAGCTATTTTTATTATTGCGGACAAGGTATCTTACAACAAAAAATCAAACGAAGTTCACTTATTAAAGCAATATGAGCTGCATCTTTGATGTTGGAAATTTTTGTGACAAAATTGTAAGTTACAATTTCAATGACAGAAATAAAGAACAATTATAAACTTCTGTTGTTCATATCTGCGATGGATTGATTGATTGTATGTTGTTTAACATCCCTCTCGAGAATTTTTCACTCATATGGAGACGCCACCACTTGCCGGTGGAGAGCTGCAAATTTTGTTATATACTCGGCACTTACGGCCATTGAGCAGCGAGGGGTCTTTTTCGTGCCAGCACCTACTGCGACACGGGGCATCGGTTTATACGGTCTCATCCGAAGGACCGGTCTCCACATCCCACAGTGGGATTCGAACCCGCGACGAAAGGATCAACTCCTTACATCGCGACTCTAGAGCAGACGCTCTAACCACTGCGCCACGCGGGCGACTTATTTGCGATGGAAGAACTATTTATAAGCTTTGATTGAAGCAAAGTAACATTATTGTCATCCTGTACAATATTGATTTCTTATAAAATACTATACATTCCATTGTACAGAATCCTTTTCTTCTGAAAAAAAATTAATACTTTATTTTAGTCTAATTGATCATAAAGGTTTAAATTACATACAGATTTATCATAACAGCACATTTTAACAACAAAATAAAATTCTTAAAAATGCAGCTCATATTGCTTTAAACAAATAGCATAGTATGTTGGTCTACTACATGTTTATATTTCTTTAGTTGATCGAAAACGGGTTTAATGTCAACCGATGCAATATTAGATTAGTTGCAAAACATCAACTTTAAAAATAAATTTGTTTTGAAAACAAGAGGCCCATGGGCTACATCGCTGACCACATTGGCTAGGCAAAAGCACAAATCAGTTCAATATTGAAAAGATTACCGGGGGGGGGGGGAAGGGGGGACTTGAATTTTAAAGTACCTGATGATGCTTCCATGTCAATATTAAAAATCACTTTTGTTGCACTTGAGAACATTTTTTTTTTAATTTCCCATATATTCCTTTGTAAAAATTTGATTCCCCATAGTGGCTCCTTCCTATCCCAGGGGTCATCATTTGAACAAACTTGAATCTACACTATCTTGAGGATGTTTCCATATCAGTATGACTAAAAATAGCTTTTCTGTTCTTCATCAGAATTTTTTTTCTAAAGGTTATTGAGCCCCCACCTTTAAACCCCCCCAGGGGTCATCATTTGTACACTACCTGATGATGCTTCCATATCAAAACGTCTCAACATGATTTTCTGTTCTTGAGAAGAAAATTGATTGATTGAATGTTGTTTAACGTCCCATTTGAGAATTTTTCACTCATGTAGAGACGTCACCATATACCGGGAAGGACTTCGAATTTTGACCTTTACTCGGCACTCAGGGCCATTGAGCAGTGAGGGATCTTTATCGTGCCAACGCCTGTCTTGACACGGGGCCTCGGTTTTTAAGGTCTCATCCGAAGGACCTACAACTTTCACCTCAAAGTGCCGAGCGCATGGCGAAGGGAACAGTTGCTACCCATTTTTTATGGACTTAGGACAGTCCCGGCCGAGATTCGACTCACGACCTCCCGATCACGGAGCGAGCGCTCTACTGATTGGGCTACCGTGAACGGTATAATTAGTATAAAAACGTCAGTCAGCATTAGACTTAATGATAGGTTGTATATGTAGAGCATAAAAGTTGCAAAATGACGACTTTAAACGAGACTGCTGATATTCTTGTTTCATCAACTTGTTTGCAATAACCTGCCTACACTCATGTGCCAATTTAAAAGTCACAACATGGCTGACACACATGTCAAGTATCACAGTCAAACATTTTCATTACCATTTTTTACTAATGGTAAGATGTTTTGACCCAGAACTTTTTTTAACAAAACATGAATTCAGTTGTTGCCTACTGTCTGATCAAAGGGAGGTAAGTCTTTGTTTACAAATAAAGTTGTCGTCTGAAGAATACAAGCAATGGGTGCCAGGGGAAAGGATTTGACAGATGAGCAAAAAAAGTTGATCCTAAAACTCAAAAGTGACGGTGACAGTGGTGGAAAAATTGGGGAAATATTGGGAATTGATAGATTTACAGTGTGTCATTTTTGAAAAAGATTGAAAACCAGGAAAGTATCAGTTTATCAAAAGGAGGTGCAAGAAAGTCAAAATGTGGCAGAAAAAGGCAGGGTAGTGAAAGATCAGACAGAAAACTTTTAAATATTGTAAATGTTAAGCGGAGAAAGACTTTATCAGATATTTCTAATCTGTATAATGAAATTACACCACAGAAGCTATCCAAACGTACAGTTCAAAGGAGATTACCTGAAAATAGGTATCACATGAGAGTAGTGAAGAAGAGCAACACCATTTCCAAACAGAATAGACTGAAGCGCAGAATCTTTTGCGGATCTCATTTATACTGGACTGTAAATCGTGATTGGGCCCGAGTTATATTCTCTGATGAAACTCAAATTGTTTTGAAAAAAGCAGATTTTTTTTTGTTTGGAGAAAAAATGGAAACCACGCTCTCTTGGAATTTACAGTGAGAAACAGACTCCACAGCTAAGTGTTATGTTTTGAGGGTGCTTCACCTATGATGCTGTTGGCACATTAAAAACTGAAGAAGGGATTATTAACTCTAGGAAGTACACTGAAATTCGTGATGGCCATTTATTGCCAAATATGAACAGAACAGGCTATACATCTTTCAGGAAGATAATGCACCAGTCCATACATCTAGAGAGACTTGTAGGTGGAAAACTGAAAATGGTTTCAATACCATGAATTTGCCCCCACAATCTCCAGATATTAACATTATCGAAAATGTTTGGAGAACTGTGAAAATAAAACTTCAAAAACGGATTTCCCAAATAAAAACTAGACAGGACCTAATTGACAATGTTTTAGAAATCTAGACCTAACTTCAACATAAATAAAATCTTTGTATCAATCCTTACCAGAGTGAGTCCGAACTGTTCTGGCAGTCAACGGATGCATTACTAAGTACTAAAAATTAGGGTTTTTAGATTTAGAGATATATGGCAATGAATAAAGCCCATTATCTCAGCTCTACATCACTTCAGCCATTTTGTGACTTTTAATTTGGCACGTGACTGTATTTTTAAAAAATGCTCCTACGTAAATTCCACATCGAAGGGTATAAATAAGTCACTGATCGCAATGCACTTGTCAACATGACGTCATCATGGTAAAATTTGACGCATTTTATGTGCAGTGAGGGGCTGATCATTTTTTTTTTTCAGTAAAAAATGCATTTTATTATTAAATATATTTACAGACTTTTTAAAAAAAATAAACACATTCATACTAGGAACCAATCATAACCATCCCTCTTTTTATATTTTTTTTTTTGTTATGTAAATCATGCCAAGTTGCAGCTGCAAAGACCGTGTGCAATTCAGCAATGGTAGTACCTTTAATGTGCACAGAATCTCGAATAAGATAACAAAAACATCAATTATAAACTATATTATGGAAAAAATGCCATCTTGAGAAAAGTTGTGTTTTTGTTTACTGCGTGTGCTGACTATGTGTCAAACATACTAGATCAGAGTGTACCAAGCTCTAAATCAACTGGTAAAACAGATTGTGGATATTATAAAAACCAATAATATGTCAGATGAACATGTTCAAAAATTTGTGGAAGCCATTGGCACCAGACCGAATGTGAAAGAAAAAAAACTGTTCAGTCAATATTTGTAATCAGTACAAAGATGTAGACTTTCTGAAAAACTCTGATATTGCTCAATAGAAACTCGGTTATAACTCGTTTATTTGTTCATTGTGTAACAAAAATTAAAAAAAAAAAATTGGGGAAATATTGGGAATTAATAGATTTACAGTGCGTCATGAAAACCAGGAAAGTATCAGTTTATCAAAAGGAGGTGCAAGAAAGTCAAAATGTGGCAGAAAAATGCAGGGTAGTAAAAGATCAGACAGAAAACTTTTAAATATTGTAAATGTTAAGCGGAGAAAGACTTTATCAGATATTTCTAATCTGTATAATGAAAATACACCACAGAAGCTATCCAAACGTACAGTTCAAAGGAGATTACCTGAAAATGGGTATCACATGAGAGTAGTGAAGAAGAGCAACACCATTTCCAAACAGAATAGACTGAAGCGCAGAATCTTTTGCAGATCCCATTTACACTGGACTGTAAATCGTGATTGGGCTTGAGTTATATTCTCTGATGAAACTCATTGCTTTGAAAAAAGCAGAATTTTTTTTTGTTTGGAGAAAAAATGGAAACCACGCTCTCTTGGAATTTACAGTGAGAAACAGACTCCACAGCTAAGTGTTATGTTTTGAGGGTGCTTCACCTATGATGCTGTTGGCACATTTAAAACTGCAGAAGGGATTATTAACTCTAGGAAGTACACTGAAATTCGTGATGGCCAGTTATTGCCAAATATGAACAGAACAGGCTATACATCTTTCAGGAAGATAATGCACCAGTCCATACATCTAGAGAGACTTGTAGGTGGAAAACTGAAAATGGTATCAATACCATGAATTTGCCCCCACAATCTCCAGATATTAACATTATCGAAAATGTTTGGAGAACTGTGAAATAAAACTTCAAAAACGGATTTCCCAAATAAAAACTAGACAGGACCTAATTGACAATGTTTTAGAAATCTAGACCTAACTTCAACATAAATAAAATCTTTGTATCAATCCTTACCAGAGCGAGTCCGAACTGTTCTGGCAGTCAACGGATGCATTACTAAGTACTAAAAATTAGGGTTTTTAGATTTAGAGATATATGGCAATGAATAAAGCCCATTATCTCAGCTCTACATCACTTCAGCCATTTTGTGACTTTTAATTTGGCACGTGACTGTATTTTTAAAAAATGCTCCTACGTAAATTCCACATCGAAGGGTATAAATAAGTCACTGATCG